TATATATATATATATTTCAAGTTCGACATTAAATTTCAACGATTCAACAAGTTAAATCTAAAGTTATTAATTCATAGATCAAGTATACAAAGTTTTTAAAAATTTAAAAACTATTTGATACTTACTTTCATTAATTCAAATAGATGGATAATTATAAAAGTATTTTATACCTTGATTTGAATCTATATAATAAAATATTATATGGTTTTTAACCTTTTAAAGAATTTAAAGATTTTATCTATTTATTAAGAACTTTTAATTTAATGATTAAATTATTAAATTAGATATATAAAATATAAGTTATCGAGTAAAATAAGTTAAAAAAATATTTTTTAAATGTGAATCCTATGTATAGTATAATATAGTATAATTGTGCCTTATATCCGTCTGCCTTTGTTCTGCTCTGGTAGAATTTTTAAATTTTAAATTTTAAATTTATTACATTTATTAAAGAGACCCTATAGTCTTAACCTAATAATATTAGGTAATTATTTCATAATGCACATTGACTCCTATCTTAAATTAAAATTTTAAATCAATCAAATATTGAATACACCATATCTCACATAAAAGAAATTGGTCAAGTTATTGCATATTATTTTCATTGTCTTGAATGAACAGCATTGCACCAATCAACGATAACAAATAATTGTTTTTGCATACTTTACAAACAGTGTATAATTAAATATTTATTTGCAAGTACTATTGTAACTACATGTATTTAATTATGAGAAAAATAAATATTTTGTATGTAAATAATATATTAATTTAAATTAAATAATATTTTTATTTTTATTAAAATATTTGAATGATTTTTATTTAGTATTTGGTCTTGAAGTGATAAAATGATAATAAGCTAACTGAATCATCAACCATGATGAACAATCAGCAGCTTGATATCATTATATAAACTTTTTGCAGTGAATTGATTTACAGCTTGTGTGGTATGGAATTGATCCCAAAACAGGTGTGCATCCACATTTTTGCATGGTATTTTATCAGGAATGCACTGCCCATTCTCCCCCGATAGGCAGCAAGGAGCATCCAAAACGTCCAAACCTGAAATACATGCATGGACCATATATTGTTATTACTTATTTCATTCAAATTAGAGTTTATTTTAATAAAATATATAATAAACTTTTTATTAAATATTAATTAGTGTGTACTATTAAAATAATATTTCAATTTAGAGATCAGACAATACACCCACAGTATTATACTACTTTTTGATTTTTTTTTATAAGAAATAAATATAATAGTGTGTTTTACCCTGCAACTTAATTATTTCTTATGGAAAAGATCCGAGGGAGTATTTAAGTGTTGTCTTACATTTTCTTAATGAAATTGTAATGAAGACATTAAATTGTTGTAATCTAGAAAGTGAATTAATGAAAGTGTAAGAAAATGGAAATGTATACCCGGTAAGGTGCCAGGGTTTACAACTGTGTTGTTTATAAAGATGAATATGGAATGAGCAAAGAAGTTGATATTGAATCGATCCACCAGAGATTTAAGTTTGTTATTGAACAAGATGGAAGCATCATTCAACTCTTTAACACAAGATCCATGTGTCTTATACCTAGACAAGGCACTTGGAGTGCATCCTATAAGACTTAACCCAACAATCACGAATTTTCTTGCCCCAACTTCTCGCAGATCCTTCACATAACCCAACAACCATGAAACATTAGTTATTTGCTAAGACATTGGTTGATATAACGAGTTACCTAATAGTTAAACAAATTAAAGGTAGCTAATAAATGATTTTGAACGAGGCTTCCACTTAAGTGAAAACGAGTTTAACTTGTTTTCAAAAGTAAAATTTAATGTACAGTTGTTTTCCTTTCACACACGTAAGAGAATTAGTGGAGCAATGAAAATGTGACATAATTAATAGATAATTTATCTCTTAAATTTTGTTTGGAGGTGAGGAAGGAATAGAAGAGAATAAAAAATAATATATGAGAATTGATTTGATAAGAATTAAATAAGAAATTAAGTAAAATAGAATAAAATTAAATGAAAAATGAAATAAATTTAGTATTTACAATTATTATTTTATCCTCACTTTTATAATATAATTAGAATTAATATTTTTATTTTATATAATTTTACATATTTTCTAAAATCCACATGAATCTCCACAATAGAAAAAAAATATAAAAAAATGATGTGGGACATAATTTTAGATTCAAATTTAATTATTATCATTGTAATTTTTATAAATAAAAAAATAACAAAAGTATATGCGGGTAAAATGACTAGTAGTAAATAAATGAATTTTTTTTAAGTGAATCCTAAAACTCTGAACTCTTCAAATCTGCTGGAAGCTTCTAAAATAAATACTTGATCCAGTCAATTTATAATTACGTTACGTTGCCACTAAATCAATTAGTGAGAGAAAGTGAAAACAAATACAGTAGAAAATTCTGAGATACCTGTATATGTCCAGCGTATTGGTCAATAAGAAGATGCACGTATTGGAGAGGGGTATAAATGCGACTTGTTGGGTAAAAGTTGGGAAGGAAGTAATTATTTATGAAATCATTGCTTCCTATATTCATGTAATACAAGCACTTGCTAAGATACAGTTTTGCTTTCTCAGAACCTCCAAGCTTCTCAGCAATTTTGGAATATATGACTTCGTGATTTTTCACCTGTGCTCCCAAGTAGATATCAGCACCCTACATTATTAATGTTAAGTGTAAACCTAATTTAGTGGCATCCATGTGTGACCATTGAAACAAATATATCCTCTAAAATTATGCCAAAAATCTATTGAAGATAGAGATCAACAAAGAAGCATATTTGAGTCATCAGGAGATGTTTAAATATTTATTTTATAAGTACTTTTAATGAGGAAAAAAAAATAAGGAGAAAAATTGAATTTTTTTTTTATAAATTAAAACTAATTTATACACAAGTTAAAAATAAATTTATAAAAAAACTAATATGAGATAACTTTTACTAGTAAACTAAATTTAACTTGGGTAAAGAAAAATTTTAATCTTTATAATTTCATTTACTTTACTTTTTAGTATGAGAATTAATACATTTATTATGTGTCAACATGAAAGAAATAATATTATAAAAAAAATGATAACAAAGACTAAAAATAATAAAAACTATAAGTATAAGAACCAAAAAGACTTATCTTAAATTAAAAAAATTGAAAAAATAAGTATATATATTAAAAATATCTATTTTAGATTATAAAGATTAAAAATGTTAAGTAAGTTAAGTTATAAGGATAAAAAATATACTTATAATAAAGTTTTTTTTGTCTACTTATTTCCGAAAGTATTTCTTAAAAAAAGATTATCTAAAGATAGTGTTATATATATATACCATATGTGTGCCTGTCTCGGGGCGAATCCCAGCTGATCCGGATGCATAGTTGACACCCTTTTGAATGTCGAAGCCACGCGTGTTTGCAAAGGGTGGGATGAATTTCTCAAATCCCAGAAGTTCAGCTGCAATAGTTAAACGCTAATTAAAAAGATGAAGATAAATAAGTGTGAGGGCAACAAAATAGAAAATAATAATAATAATAATAATAATAAGGGCTACACTGGAATTAAGCATAAAAAATGTTACTTGCAAAGTCAATTGAGGTTCGTCCATTAGTAAATCTTCCGGTTGGGCCATTTGGGAAGTCGATGCCATATGGCAAGTAATTGGATTTTGCAAATGTTGGAAGATTGTTGTTGTTTCCACTATCAGATAGAGAGTCCCCAAATATAAAAACGCAAGGCAATTGCGATTCTCCATCAACACAATTTGCAGCCAATAGAAGAAGAGAAAGAACCAACCATGGTTTAGTTTCAATTGCCATATATTCAATGAATCTAGCTACGAAGAAAAGAGCAAAAAGAGGTTCAGTAGGTTATTATGATCCAAGAAATTATATGTAATGTGACAATTGCACAAAATCATGGAAGGTGAATGGATATATCATATATGTGTGGTGTGGGGTAAGTGGGTAACAAAGTTTTGCGCCCAAATGGCATGTTTTTTAATAATGAAGTCAGAATAAAGCAATATGGAGTGAAGAGTTTGGTAAGTTTTTTTTTTTTTTTTTTTTTTTTTAACGAAGTAACATTATCTATTAATAATAAAAAAAAGGGGTGAAATTCTGATAACTTCATCATATATGATTGAATTACAAAAACTTATGAACAGGTATCTTACATCTAAATTGAATTTTTTTCTGATTAAATAATCTCTTTCTAAATGTTTTGAAACAATTAGAATGAGATTTTTGAAAAGAAATACGAAATTTTGATTTTGGTAAAAATATATTTAGTTTGAAAAAAGAGTATGAAAAAATGGTTGGATCTTCATATTTGAATTTCTCGAATGAAGAGATTCATGAATTAGAATCCTAACGCATATAAATATAAATGGTAATTTCTAAAATCATTTGAACTATTTCATTTCCTTCCAAAACTCTCTTCTCTCCAAAATTTTCTCAATTTTTTTAATATATATATATATATATATATATATATATAAGTATATAATAATATTAAAATAAAAATATATTTAACAAAAATATAGCACAATAAGAAAGTGTATCCATATAAATGATAGTGATATATTTTTCTTTTCTTTTTTTCATATTTTTACTTATTTGTACACTTTATTTTCATCTCTCAAGATAATGATCATGTTATTATATTTCAATTTTTATATTTATTTAAAAATTTTGAAACAAAGAAAGAAGACTCTTTACATGTTATTTAAACATAAAAAAAAATAATTTTTTATGTTAAAATTATATAATTGCATCATCTTTTAAAATCATATAAAATATAAAAAATAAATTTATTTTACTAAATTAAAATTAATTTATTATTGATAAAAAAAAACATTAATTCAATACCCGCACATTGCACGGATATACCAACTAGTTGCTAATTAAGATAATGAGTTTGGCAATAGTTTGGTAGTAATAAAAACAGAGAGTACCCGTCAAAAAATAATCTTAACTATGTGTAGTGTGTTTTACATTTTTTTTATTTATTAATTACGTGTAGCATGATTGTATCGTAGAGCATGATTCACAATTCACCATAGGTGGAGTTGCTTTGGGTCTATTATTTTTTAAATATAAATTTGACCCGATATTTTATTTAGCTATTTTCTAAAAATATCAATTTAACTTGATTAAAGTGTAAAGTTATATGAGATAATGTCAAATCAATTCAATATTAATATACTATATTAATTTTAACATCATATATAATTAAATTATAAATTTTAAAAAATATATAACATAAATTAAGATATATTTTAAAAATAAATAATTTTATTATAAATATAATATCATGTTATAAAAAATATTAAACTAAATAATTTTTTATTATTAATATATAATAATTTAATAAAATTTATATTTTAAAAAAAATATTATATATTATATCAATGTGAAAACCTAAGTCCATTTAAATCAACATCGGACCAAACCGGATTAGTTCGACATTCATATATAAATTTTGACTATCAACTATAATTTATCCTTCATGCCAAACCTTTGGTTTTTGGCCATTCTACGAGCATCTACACCGCGAGTATCTTAAAGATATCTTAAAATTAAGATACGGTGTCTTACTTTCTTTTGCCGTTGGAAATTGTCTACATGTCACAGAAGATATCTTAAAACTAAACACCACATCTTATATGATATATAATTATAGTTAATATGATATATAATTATAATTAATCACTTATACACTAACACTGTAAAAAAATTTTATACTGACAATCAATCATATCTTTTAAATAAATTTATTTTATTTTTTCATTAAATAAGCAACTGAAATTATACTATTAAAAGATATGATTGGTTATCAGTGTAAAAAAATTTTACACTGGCAGTGTATATATGATTATTTCATATAATTAATTAAAAAGTAATTTTTTTTTACCATTAACCACCATCAAGTTAATTCTCGCATAAAACAATTATTTCAATATATAGAATAATTTTATGATTATCCGTCAATTTGAATAAGTGAAATGAAGTATTAAATGATTTTTAAATTTTCTAAAAATTTTGCAGACTTAATCTATGCATTAAGAACTTTAAATTTAACGGTTAGATCGTTAAAATTTAATGTAGAACATGCGTTATTGAACGGAATAAGTCTAGGTAGATTTACTCCTGAAATAAACAGATCCCTCCTATATATATATATAAAATTAGCTACATTGAAGTAGGTATTGGTAGAATTGTCAAAGTGATTTTCAATTCATAGGTCAATCCAACCCATTAGGGATGGGAATGGGGCGGGTCAGGTACGGGTTTCATGATACCCGTCCTCGTCCTCGCGACTCAAACTCATTCCCGTACTTGTCCGATATCGGGTATACCTATACCCTTAAAAAAAAAAAAAAATTTGCAAAAAAAAAAATATACAATATTTTTTAATTTTTTTTCATTATATTATTTATAATTAAATTGTTTCTCTATCTCATATTTAAATCAAGAGATTTCTTAATAATTAAACAACTATAAATGTTTCTCATATAATAAATAATTATACATAATAAAATATTAATTTTTTTTAACATAATTCAATCGGGGACGGGTATGGGTACGGGTACGGGGCAGGTATGTATATATCCGTACCCGGTTTAACATATCGGGTTTTACTCATACCCGATCAAACCGGGTATTCCTTGTCAAAGTCAGGATAGGTTTGGGTATTACCCACGAGTATGGGTTTATTTGACATCCCTACAACCCATCTTGAAAATAGACTGAGTCGAGCTAAAAAAAATGAGTTTTTTACTCAAATAATACTATTTAAAAAAAAAAAATTACCCAAATAGCAACTGTGCAAATTTATTTCCCCAATTAGCACCATTTATTGTTCGCGTTCAAAACGGGTCGTTCCAGATTAAAAAATAACACATGGCGAATGAATCAGAAGGGTCATTCCAGATTCAAAATTAGCACATAAAAAGTAAAACCAGAACGAGTCGTTCTAAATCCGGAACGGGCCGTTCTAGCCTATAAATAAAAAAAAATTGGTTCGATTTTCACTTATCAAGTACCAAAACTCAGAAATTAACATCAAATAATTAAATTTATTGAATATTAACATTATAAATATAACTAAATAAATTTATTAAAATTCATTACAACAATAAAGATCAATGGTAGCGGAAACTGAATTCATGACCAATATTTGGATATGTCTTCCTAGTGTGATCAGGGGTGTGACAATAGAAACAATTTTTTACACAATTATGTTGTTCTTTAATGTCCATATCTGTTTTAATTCTGTTGGACTTTGGCCGACCCTTGAAAGTTATCTTGAGTACTTGATTTGGCCACAAAGTTGAAAGAAATGCAACATCCGAGAGAAGTTTGACCCACAGGGAGATTTACAGTAAGGCTAAATGAAATGTGGTATGATTGCGGCAAGTTCCAAAAAGTTCATATCCCTTGCTCGCATAACCCGCTGGGAGATTTACAGTAAGGCTAAATGAAATGTGGTATGATTGCAGAGTTCCAAAAAGTTCATATCCCTTGCTCGCATGACCTATTGGGAGATTTACAGTAAGGCTAAATGTAATGTGGTGTGATTGCAGCAAGTTCTAGAAAGTTCATATCCCTTGCTCGCATGGTCACACTAGGAAGACATATTCAAATATTGGTCATGAATTCAGTTTCTGCCACCATTGATCTTTATTGTTGTAATGAATTTTAATAAATTTATTTAGTTATATTTATAATGTTAATATTCAATAAATTTAATCACTTGATGGTAGTCTTTGAGTGAAAATAAAAAAAAAAAGATGGTCTGAATCTGTAGGCCAGAACGGCCTGTTCTAGTTCTACTTTTTGTGTGCTAATTTTGAATTTGGAACGGCTCGTTCTGATCCATTCGCCATGTGTTATTTTTTAATCTGGAACGGGCCGTTCTGATTTCAAAACGGCCCGTTCTGGACGTGAACAGTAAATGGTGCTAGTTAAGGAAATAAATTTGCACAGTTGCTATTTGGATATTTTTTTTAAAATATTATTATTTGAGTAAAAAATTAAAAAAAAAAACTCCTAATAGACTAAAACATTCAACTAGTTCACTTTGATTTGACCAACCTGAGTTGAACTTATGGTGAGTTGGACTACTCACCAAACTCACTTACACCTAGGGCTGGGAAAAATTAACTAAACAAAACAAAAATTATTAAATAACTGAATTATTTTTAACTAAAAAACTAAAACTATTTAAAATAAAACTGAATTAAACTATTTTTTAATTCAGTTTTAAAAAACTGAACTTATTTTAGTTACAGTTCAGTTAACTATAAGTAATTACAAATTAAAAAATAAAAGCACGCACAACACAGGTTGGCTCTTGTACGCTATTAGGAATCCCTAACTCACACCAGCCACCGCCCACCGCATAAGGTAAATGCACCAACCAGAATTCGCAACTTGCTCACACCAGCCACCACCCACAGCATAAGGTAAATGCACCAACCAGAAATCGCAACTCGCACTAGCCACCTCATGGGTTCCTGATTCGTCCAACCAAGCCATCCTCAAGCACCAACCAGGCAACCACGGATTCCTCCATCCTCAAGCACCAACCACGGATTCTCTCTTCTTTCTTCAGGTTCACTTTTTCTATGTAAAATTTCATTTGGGTATCCCTTTTTCCCTAAAATATTTGTTTTTTTTATTCCTTTGTTGATTCCCAATAATTATCTGAATAGTTGTTGAAATGTCACGGTTTTAAGGTAGTGTTTTGTGATATTCTTCTCTTTAATAATTTTTTTTGGTGGAGTGGAAATTTATTTTAAAAATTGTATCCTTTTCTGTGTTTTTTGGTTAAAGGGTGTTGGTTCATTTTGCGAAGTTGGAGTCTTTGTAGCTGGTACTGAAGATGTATTGGAAACATGACACTGTTTGTGCTTTGACTGGCTTGCGTTTAATTAAGTTTTTTTTATATGTATGAGCAGAAAGTTAGTCGATATAAAAATGATAATATATTTTTCTTAAAAAATATATTTTATGTATAAAAATGATTAATTTTGTATACAAGTTGTCTTGATCCCAGCCTATATAGCCCAAAACATTAAAAGGTAATATATTTTCCTTTATATTGTGTGTTATATAGTAGTAATTAGTAATATATTTTTCTTGCATCCTTGTTTTTTGTTATCAGATGGAATTTACATTGCCAAACACCATAGAAACTCTCACACCAGATGTTTCTAGAATTAATGATGTACCCCCTTGTATTGATTCATCATCGACTGGGCAAAGTAAAGGTCGGTCAAACATGTGGGAACATTTTACTAAACAAAAACCTTATTCTGAGAAGAAGGCTAAATGCAATTACTGTGGAGATTTGATTAAATATTTGGCTGGGACAAGTGGCATGAGGAATCATTTGATGAGATGCAAAGAAAATCCTAATAGAGAAGTATTCAAGAGGCAAAAACTTTCATCATCAACTATAGAAGGGGTTAGTGTTGGCCCTTCGCCAACTATTTCTAAATTTGACCAAAATGCATCTCGAATGAAGTTGGTGAAGATGTTTGTGAAGTCTGAGCTTCCTTTTCGATTTGTGGAAGATGATGACTTTCGTGACTTTGTATGGTCCTTGCAACCACGATTTGAAGTCCCATCCCGCACCACATTGAGGCGTGAAATGTGGGAACTCTATGAAGAAGAAAAAGCAAAGTTAAAATTTTTTCTATCAAAACAATGTGGGAGGGTTTGCTTAACTACAGACACATGGACTTCAATCCAAAATCTAAACTACATGAGTTTGACAGCGCACTTTGTTGACAATGACTGGAAGCTTCAAAAGAAAATTTTGAATTTTTCTCAAACAACAGGACATTCAGGAGAGCTCATTGCTAAACATGTTGAGGCTTGTTTGAATAATTGGGAGTTGAAGCGGGTCCTTAGTATCACTGTGGATAATGCTACAGCAAATGATGTTGGGGTCCAATATCTTAAAAGGAGGATGTTATCATGGAATTGTCTTGTCTTAAAGGGAGAATATGTCCATATGCGTTGTTGTGCACATATATTGAGTTTGATTGTGAAGGATGGTTTAAAAGAGATCAAAGATTCAATTTTGAAAATTCGAAATGCAGTTAAATATGTGAAGTCTTCTCCAGCTAGATTTGCTAGATTCAAGGCTTGTGTTGAGCAAGAGGGAATTTCTTACAAAGGTATTGTTTGCCTTGATGTTGAAACCAGGTGGAATTCAACTTACTTAATGTTAGAGGCAAGCTTGAAGTACAAAGATGCCTTTGTCTTGCTAGATATGCAAGACAAGAAATTTGGTGTTGAAATGGCCAAAGGTAATGGTAGTGTGCCACTAGAAGAGGATTGGGAATATGCGAGGTCTGTTCTACCATTTTTAAAGATGTTCTATGACTCTACCATGCGCATTTCTGGTACTTCATATGTCACCAGTCATATGTACATGAAGGAGGTGTTTGGAATTGGTAAAAAGATTCGACAATATTCTGAGAGTAGTGATGTGAGCATAAGGTTGATGGCATTGAGGATGAAGGGAAAGTATGACAAATATTGGGGAAATCCTAATGGAATTAATATCTTATTATTGATTGTTGTTGTGCTTGATCCTAGGAGTAAGTTGGATTTTGTTAATTACTTCATTGACTATATATTTGAATCTGATATGGCTAGTCAATTGAAATCAAAATTGTTGTCATCTTTGAAAACACTTTATGAACAATATCAAGGTGTTGAGGAGGGTTCTCAAAGTAGCCAACAAGAATCACAACTAGATGATGAAGATGATGATCCTCATGGCATGAGTTTCTACCTAAGAGCTACTGGACGTAGATTTGATTATATATCAGAGCTTGATAAATATTTGAGAGAAGATCCTGAACCTTATACAAAGTTAGTTGAGCTTGATGTTTTACATTGGTGGAAAGTCAACTCAACTAGATTTCCTATCCTTGCAAACATGGCTCGCGAGGTGTTGGCCATTCCCATCTATACTGTAGCATCAGAAAGTGCATTCAGCACAGGCGGAAGGGTGGTTAGTCCTTATCGTAGTTGCCTAACGCCTAAAATAGTGGAAGTACTTGTTTGCACCCAAGATTGGTTGAAAGGAACACCTTTCTCTATACTTTTTGATGAGGATCCTAAAGAGCTTGATAAATTTGAGCAAGGTGAGTCTATATTAAAAATCTATATATTTTGTTTATATTTTAAATTTTTGAAAATGAGAGTATTTTTTTTTTTTGTAGAGATAACCTCTCAAGATGAAGTGGGACCTTCAAGTGTTATTCATTTGGATGATTGAAGATGTGCTTGATAAGTTTTATTTTATGATACAACTTATATTTGAAGATGTATTAATTTTTTGATTTTGTTGTTCATGGGAGAACCTACATATTTGAACATACAACTTATAGTTTTATGTTTTTTTTTGTTTATGAGAAATCTATATAATTTTAGCTTGATTTCCATTTAATGACTCTCAAGACAAATGCTTCACAAATTACAGTTTTTTTTTGTTTATGAGAAACCTATATAATTTTTGATTTTGGCTTTGAGTTCTCTCTTTTACATAATTGGGGCTTAGCTTTTTCCCATGATGGATTTAACATTTTTGCTCTATGGGTACTTTTGAAGCCTGCATTCCTGATGGGACTTGTTTTTACCAAATGGGCATGTGCATTCTTACTCTGTTGTTGTCTCATCACTTCTGGGGTATATTCAGGTAAGGTAAACTCTGTTAGCTCCTAAGTTTCATGCCTTATCCGTTATTTATTCTTCGAAAGCAATGCGTTGAGTACATTATCTAACTTGTCTCTTGTGTTGTGTTGAATGGCCTTGTCTCAGTGGAGGGTTTACATGGGAGTTCTAAAGTGAGAGGAGTGAACTTAGGAGGGTGGTTGGTTATTGAAGGTTGGATCAAGCCTTCACTGTTTGATGGCATTTCCAATGGAGACATGCTAGTGAGCTACTTCACATTTTTGTTTATTGATTCATTTTTTCTTTGAAAAACATGAGTCTTCTGGGGTGTTAATAACTCATATGGATGATCTATATGTTGATATTGAAAATACTCGTCATTAGCTTATGTGATAATCTGCCAGAGAATTGGTTCATTATAATTGTTTTTCTATGGGTTTCTAGTAATGTTTTCTCATTAGATATGAAGTTTTATCTCAAAAACTTATTTTACCTTTAATATAAATATTTATTATGCTGATGGAATTCCAATTCTAATACTATTAAATGATGAAGGAAAAAAAGAAGGAAGAAAGAGAGTGTGAATCAAACGAATATTGTTTTTTAGCTAATGCTTGGTGCTACAGTCGCATGTGTTATTGATAGTTGATTACTGTTGAAGTAATCTTGTGCCCTTGGCATGGTTTTTGCAGTTTGATTATGATAGTTCTACTCCACCGAAACAAGCTTGGAGAAGGAGATTAAACAGCCATGCCAATCTTCTTAAAGAATTTAGAATAACTTTTATGGAAGCTATAAAAATGGCAAGTGTTTTTCTCTAACTAACGGTGATTCACTGGTTTAATAATTTTCAAATTAATGTTATTCTATCTGTTCTGATTGTCAATTGTGTTTTAAAATCCCAGGTTCGACTAGGCATTCGAATTTGGTCATATGTTAGGGAAGAGGCTTCTCATGGAAGGGTAAATTTCAAATTCTCCTTCATTTTTTGGTCATTCATTGTTCTCTGTGTGTGGATACACAAGATTAATATGTTTAAACTTAGGATTCCAGACTTCATTTTGCTGGCCTGATTTATGCAGAAAGCACCTATCGATCCTTTCACTAGAGAAAGTTGCAAGCCATCTATCTTTGAAAAACATGAGTCTTCTGGGGTGTTAATAACTCATATGGATGATCTATATGTTGATATTGAAAATACTCGTCATTAGCTTATGTGATAATCTGCCAGAGAATTGGTTCATTATAATTGTTTTTCTATGGGTTTCTAGTAATGTTTTCTCATTAGATATGAAGTTTTATCTCAAAAACTTATTTTACCTTTAATATAAATATTTATTATGCTGATGGAATTCCAATTCTAATACTATTAAATGATGAAGGAAAAAAAGAAGGAAGAAAGAGAGTGTGAATCAAACGAATATTGTTTTTTAGCTAATGCTTGGTGCTACAGTCGCATGTGTTATTGATAGTTGATTACTGTTGAAGTAATCTTGTGCCCTTGGCATGGTTTTTGCAGTTTGATTATGATAGTTCTACTCCACCGAAACAAGCTTGGAGAAGGAGATTAAACAGCCATGCCAATCTTCTTAAAGAATTTAGAATAACTTTTATGGAAGCTATAAAAATGGCAAGTGTTTTTCTCTAACTAACGGTGATTCACTGGTTTAATAATTTTCAAATTAATGTTATTCTATCTGTTCTGATTGTCAATTGTGTTTTAAAATCCCAGGTTCGACTAGGCATTCGAATTTGGTCATATGTTAGGGAAGAGGCTTCTCATGGAAGGGTAAATTTCAAATTCTCCTTCATTTTTTGGTCATTCATTGTTCTCTGTGTGTGGATACACAAGATTAATATGTTTAAACTTAGGATTCCAGACTTCATTTTGCTGGCCTGATTTATGCAGAAAGCACCTATCGATCCTTTCACTAGAGAAAGTTGCAAGCCATCTACATCTCAAGGAGTTCCACTTGGAGGGATGGGGTATGATTTGTTCCAATTGAAAGCTACCAAATAATTGTTTGACTCACTAATAACCATTCAAATGGCTAATAGGTTACTATTTACAAATATGTTTATCTGTTGGCCATAACCTTTTTCTTCTTGTATTTATTTGAACATGACTATACAGGAGTGGCAGCATATCAAGAGGATTTAGGGGTGAGTTCCGACAATGGCAAATTATTCCTAGCTCGTGTGAAGCATCACCAGTCATGGCCAATCAGTTCTCTGTGAGTTCTATTTTTCCACTTACTATTGACCTGCTATAATCATCTCTAATTGCATGGATTTATTTCCCTGTGTCATATGTTTGTCACTGATGTGTTATTATTTTAATAAAGTACCTTTTTGTAGAAAAAGATAAAATTAATGTTAAACAATATGAAATTGCTATAAATTTATCTACTTAAGCCTTCAATGGAATTTAATATTGATGGATAACAACTCTAATGATAATTTTTATTATTATTATTATTTGATTATTTAAAGTTGTACATTTTTTAATTGAGTTTAATTTTTGTATGCATGATGCTTAACTTGATAACTTTTATTTTAGATTAGAGATTGTTTTTAAATTGAAATTCATTTTAAATTAATATTTATTTTAAATTATATTTTTGAAAAAATAGGTGAATTGGTGGATAGACTTGCTTAGTCCACCAACCGGTGATAAATTGAGTTGGGTTAGAAAATTTTTAACATTTAAGTTGATGGACTGATGATAAGTGTCTAATTAGTTTGATGAAATTTAAATTTGAGACACTTATCTAGCACACTTTTTGTATATATATTGATATAATTTTGGCAAATACATTAAGAATCAAAGAGGGGATCTTAATTTACATTGTTACATGGAGTGATGAGTTTTTGATCAGATTTTCCTCTTATTTTGTAGTTTTGAAATATGGAGGCAAACAGCTGAGCGCCTTGAAACGGCTGAGCGCTTTCAAGCCAGAGAACTCAACAAATGCAGCAAAGAAGAGACGCTCAGGAGGCGCTCAGCCACTCAAAGGCGCTGAGGGGTTTTGGCCCTGGAAGAAGGAGTGATCTCTGCCTCCTAGGCGCTCAGCGAATATGAAGCCCAACCCCTTGTGCTTGCTTAACAATGAAGAATCTCTCAGGCGCTCAACAATTTGAACGGCTCAGCCCTTCAGATTACTTCATGGTGAAGAATTCTTCAAACCGCTCAGTCGTTTCAAGGCGCTGAGCGGATTCTTCTCTTTCCTGCCTACTCTGTTTTAATTCTAGCACTTATAAAAGGGCAGAGGAGAGAGAAAAAAGGGATCACTAGTGGTACGAAGTGAAGAACAGAGAGGAACGAGGAAACAAAGCACTTTGGAGCTCGTGGGGACGCGATTCTTCAGAGGATCTCTTTCTTCTACCTTTCTCCTTGTTGTTTAGTGATTTCTTGTATCATGGAGAGCTAAAGCTCTAGGTTTGGGATTAATGTAGTCATCAAACTCCCGTGTATTCCTCTTTGATTTATATATATATATATATATCTCATCTATTACACAATGTCAATAATTTGTATTATGTTCTTAATGCTTTGATAAACTGATCATTTATCTTTGATCTTGGATTTAGAATTTGGTTGGAAAACGTTTTCTAAATCTAGACTTGAAACAAATCACCATTAGTTTTGAGAGCCAGGGATGGTCTTGAAATTAATAGTTGCAACAAGTTCTGATTCTTAATGCGGGATATTGAACTGAATGAAGTGAGGAATCATTCATTGAGTTAAATATCTCATAATCTCTTATGTCAAGGGATTGGGTTTGAATGAAAATAGAGAACTCAATGGCAATTAGTAATGGAATCATTTGATAGAATCATTAGGAATACATAGGAGAGAGATTGATGAATTTAATCTCAAACTGTTTCTCGTATCTGTTTTCCTTCATATTAAATTATCCTTTGGTTACTTAAATTTGATCAATCATCCATATCAAATTTGAACATGTGTAATTACTCAAGTTTTAAATTCACAAGCATCAATTAGTATAATAGAAATCATAGCTTACTTCACAAGTTCTTGAGGTTCGACAACCTTTTAATTATACTATAGAGACTTGGGTGCGCTTGCCTATAAAACCAACAACTGAATCGGACCAAGTTACTTAAAAAATAGGTTGAGGTGAGTCAGATCGAACATGTTGGATCAACCTATTTTAACAATCCTAAATCTAGGTACATGATGTTAGGTATATATTTTTATTTATTTTTTATTTTAAATAAATAATGTAATATTTATAATATTATTGATGATATATATTATAAATTTATTAAAAATAGATAAACTAAACACATTTTAATATTTATATTTTTAAAGTTAGAAAATGAAAAATTAAACCAAATATATTTTCTAAATTTAAAAATGAAAATAGAGAAACCAAACAACTTGTAAACAACCATTTATTTGAAAATAGTCTTAACTAAACATGTAATATACGTGCGAATTAATGGGCGAGTGGAAGTACAAACAAGTTGTTGGTACGGAGAAAGTTAGTAAATTGAATTGTTATTTTAAAATTGAACGTATAAATAAATCTTTAAAAGTATATATGATAAATAATTATGATAAGATCGATGTAAATTTTTTTCTTATGTTTGAGTTCCCTTACAATTTCACCAACAGTGAATCCATTGAAGCACGAACAACACAATTGCAACCCCAACATGCTTTGTCCTTTGAATTAATAAAACATAATGTCGTTCTTCCTTGCAAAAGAACATGCTGCTCTAAAGCCATTGTTAATGTTTCAGCATGTCGCGTTAGCTATCTTCTGCGCAACGATGTCGTTCAGCAATGCACAAACCTACAATGGCATCTCTCACGCGCCTATACAAAGGCACGTGTGACTGCTGTTCATCGTCTCCGACCCTAAGGAGTATTTCGGATATTTAGATATAATAATATGAATACTTGTTTAGTGATTTATTATATTTTATTACCACAATTCAATTTTTTATGGTATATCGATGTTTAGTTGAGTTTAAATTAAGAGATAATATTGAGTAAGTTTTTTTTTTTTTTTTTTACAAAATATTTTATTATCTTTTATATTTATTACTGTTATAAATAATTATATTTTTATTTTTAAACAAATATTATATCTCCCTCTTATAGTTTTTATTACAAATATAATTGCATTCTTCTTTTTTTTCTAGACAAAATATCTAAATATCATTTTTTTTCTTTTATAATTATTTTTTTATTTTTATTTTAAAAAATAAATATTAATAATTAATATGTTATGTTAGTTGGAGGAACCCATACCTTCTTATCACTCCGGTTCTTATGTCTTTGTTTCCAAACCACTAAATCACCATCTTTTTCTTTTATAATTTATTGTTATTTTAAAGTCTATAAATGATTGTACTTGTGATCAAATGACTTTATTGGTCTTTCATTTAAAGTTTTGTACTATAATTGATTTGATAATTAAAGACTGTTCATTAACCTTGATGATAGGCCAAACTTATGAACATTATATAATAATTAATATGACATTTTATTTTTTAAAAATCATGGTTTATTTTTATTAAAAAAGTTATGATTTATGTAAATAACAATTTTCCTTATAAACTCATGATCATTAAGGTGCTTGGTGGCATGTGAAACTGATTACTAAGAAATGTAATGTTGGATCTTTAAAAAATGTTTTTAGTTTGTTTTTCTGTTATTTTTATTTGCATTTAAGTTGATAAATAATATTATAAAAAAAACTTGATATAAAAAAATGGCATTATTTTCTTATTTTTGTAGTTAAATTTTTTTTAATGTGTTGAAATAATACTTTCTGTACTGATTATTTTTTAGTTTAAAAAGAAAATATAATTTATTCTCACTAGTTGATCCATATGGAAGTGAAATGATACACTTAATCAGGACTCTATATTTAACTTTGAGATTGAATTTTAATTCGTTAAGAAATAAAAATAGTGATTCACTTATGCTAATATTTTTTTTGTAAAAGAACCCAAGAGGGGATGAAAAACATGTTTTTATTTTTATTTAAATGAATGTTAATGTTTACCGTTAGCCCCCAGCCTGGCTCCATCCCTGTCGATGGGTATTGATTCTATGACTTACGTACGGCTGAACGATATGTTTTAGGGTTTACCTTATATTTTGTCTATAAACATATCTAAAATGAATGTTTTATGAACAAAAAAATTGGTATGATAGAAGAATGAACCCTTCTAAGTTGAAGCAGTGAAAAATGGGGTACAACGGTGAGGTAAGAAGTTTTTGCAAGTTGTCCGTACATATTATATTTAAATATTTATATTAAAATAATATTATTAATTATGGTGGATAAGTTTAACATATTAATTGTTTACCGGTGTACAAGTGAACGGTAACAATTTTTATTTTTTATTTTCATTTAAATTGTTTAAAATTACTAAAAAAACTTTCTTTTTTTGTAACTTAACATCTTCCTTGCTTCAGTCATCATGAATGCGAGATTGTCGCTTTGATTGTGGTGGTGCAGATTCGCACTGACTTTATCAACAACTTTATGGAGTGTTCTAAGTCGAGGCCATCTAACATATTTGGACCAAGATTTAAAAGCACATTCGCCTCACATACCCAAATCATGTGCAACATCGCAAGGGTTGTGGCTTTGATCATAGTTGTGTAGATTCGTACTGGCAAAGCCTTTGCCAATAGTTTCACGCAGTGCTCTGAGTTAAGGTTGACAAGAGGAGGAGTGTTGTGCAGTCATCAACATCAACATCGTAGTCACTGTCGGAGTCCGAATCTATTGTCGTTGTTGGAGTTGGCATCATCGAGGAGAAGTGTTAGGGGTTTGAGGCTGAAGGTTTATAGGGTATAAGTAGTCCATTGTAGGAATATCGTCTCTGCACAGTACCGTGACATGGAGAACCCATTGCTATTGTTCGCATCTGACTATGCCAGCATCTTTGTGAATGACACCAACTTCTTCAAACCCTTTGAGGTGTCTTCGTCGAGCTCTAAGCTCCGAAATGATTAATAGTACCACGACACAAAGAACCTACTGCTATTATTCGCATTTGATTATGTTAGCATCTTCGCGAACGACACTAGCTTCGTGAACTATTTAATTTAATTATTTATATATCTAAGACTAAAAACTTAATTTAGTCCCTTATAATATAAAAAGTTTTAATTTAATCCCACTTTAATTTTTTATTTTAATTTAATCTCAATTTAATTTAAAATATTCAAATTTGAATAATAGAGTTAACTCTTGACCATGTATATGCAAACATGAATGCCAACTGGCTCTTGAATCGGTATCAGTCAGATTGCCTGAATCGTGTGAACCTCCTCAAACATCCCATTGAAGGCCTTGAACCTCTCCCTTAGAGCACTCTTGGACACCCCAGAAGAAAACCCCCCACTGTCACAGAAAAACCCCATCAATACCAATACAGTATAGTCTAGCACCACCAAAATTAATCCCAATATTGACTCAAAATATTCAATTAACGAAAGCCAATTTATCAATATCATTCCAAAATGCAGCGGCAGAAGTCAAATGCGCCTCAGACTTATTAGTAATGTTATCATCATTAACAATATTATTCTCTTCCACCACAACACCCTACAAAACAAACATCGCACTGAAATCAACATAAACAAATAAGAAAAAAAATCCCAATCGAATTGAGACACACCGATCGGAATGCAACAATCAATCAAACAACCCCTCGCGGGAATCAGATCGAATTGAGAATCTCGAGCGAAACAAATTCCTTACACGAAAATGAAAAGGCATGGAATAAAAGAGGGGAAAATTCCAGTGCGCGACGATGTTGATTCTGATGGGGTTTTGCTTCACGGCGACGTCGATTTCGCCGATGAGGAGGGCGCGGCGGAATTGAGGTCGGTGACGGCGACGACACGGTGGTTGTCGGCGCAGCACTATGTGAGGAATTGGTGGAGGTCTAGGGTTTCAGTGGAAGAAGAATAGAGAAAAAGAAATCTTTACGTAAATCTACTTAGACATCCACGTGTTCAAGAGTTAACCCTATTAGTTAAATTTAGACGGAAGTTCCACATTGAAATATTTTAAATTAAATTAAAACTAAATTAAAACAAAAAATTAAAATGAGATCAAATTAATTTTTTTTAATATTATAAGAGATCAAATTAAATTTTTAACCTATATCTAACAATAAATTTTATTTCTCCACCGGTGAATCACATAAAAATTATACTTTATTTTATTGGTTCACTCATAAACTACATGATGTATGGATGCACCATAGTCGTCTAAAATAATATGTATTTACTTAATTTTGTATTGAAGATGGTAATTACAACAATGCCCTTCTTTCTTGAAATTTCTTTAATTATAAGGTACTGTAATCATCTTTTTTCAACTTCGATCATCAACCAACAATATTGTGCGGATTCACAGAAGATTTTTTTTTTGAAGCTTCTCATTTTCTTTTCTTAAAACCTAAAATGCTTTTTTAATTTTTTTTGTTGTTGTTTATTTGTAAATACTGGAATATCATGGTAAGGGGATGTTGGGATTGCGATTTTTGTTACAGGGTTAGAAATCTTAGATCATGTACTGTTTGGTTTTACATTCAAGCTAAGAGTTTCTTTAGATAAAAGTAAAAAACGAGAAATATGACAAACGAGATTTTCTTTTTGAATATGATTTTTTATTTTCGATTTTGTAAAGTAGAAGAGGATTGTACAAGTGAAACAAAATGCGATTTACATTAAATGTTTTCTAAGATTGTAAGCCCCAAGTTCAAACTTTAAATCCGTGAAATCAACCTTGCCAAGTAACGGTGTCAAAGTCCAAAGATTTTGTCTAATGAGTGTAGAAGCTTTGATCTTCACTATTTCTTAATGTGTTTGTCCAATTTTACGATGGTGTTCACTTTCATCACAATATTGGTCACAATCAAATTGAAACACTTGAAACGAACCAAATAAGAAACATCAATTAGAAACACCGAAAATCCTACTCGAAAAAAAATGTCAAATAAGTCATTTCATTTTTAAGACTATTTTAAATTCTCAAAACCCCTATAATTTATCTTAACCTTTCAATACAAATATAATAAATCTAAAGGTGATAACTCATGGTCCACTCATATATCATATAAGACAATACTTTAAATTGCTTCCTCACCCGTAACACTTAATGAAATGTTTCATGTTAATTAGAATCTCTATAGAAGAATCATACTTTAAATTTTGAAGTACATTTTTGATATTCTTGTATGCCAAAAGGATAAAGTTAAGTACGAATATCTTAAATTTTAATTATTTTTAAAATATTTTAATTATTTTTTCTCATAACTAACAATTAAAATCATGATATGTAGTAAATATTAATTTAATAAATAAAACTTAATAATTTTTTTATTTGGACAATGATGATTCTGTTGTATATTTTGAAATATTTCAAAAGATTAATTTATTTATGAAATTATTTTGAATTTAAATTTAAAATAATTATTTTATTAATTACATGCTTTAAAATTAATTAATAATTTTAATAAAATATAATAATTTGATCGTTATAATTTTAATTAATTTTAATTATTAAATATTTTAAAAAATTAATGGATTTTAATTCTTATAATTAATTATAATCATAGTAGTTAGTATTTCCTACTATCAATACTGAGAATGAGTGAAAGGATCTATTTGTTTTTGGATTAAAAACTTGTTTGCTGGTTCCCCTTAGTAGTACATGGGAAGATCTTATAGGAGTCTGCGGATCCATTTAGAACAGTGGGAGTGAGGGAGTACTCTACAGATCCTTTAGGGAGAGTCTACGGATCCTTTAGGGCAGTCTTAGGAGTTCAAATTATTTTTGTGCTATTAACATCATAGAGAACAGATTCAGCACAAGGTTTATCACGATTAACAGAACAAATTAACCATGTACGTCAGCCAAATTGGGAAAGAGTTGAATTCTACCAGATCGAATTTGTTATTAATGAGCTAAGTATTTTGTAAATGCTTGTTGAAGTTGAGGGCTTATATAAACCATGAAAAACAAAATATGACAACTTGTTTAAATATCGATGATTAATAGTAGAAAAAATGTGGTATATATAATACAGATCTACTAGTAGCATCAATTTTTGAACATGGCCCAGGACCTACAAGGGCAAGGGGCCATGGCCTGCACCCACCCTAATAAGACTTGTGACCTTTCTGAATTAACCCAAATAAATTCGGCTTCAATTGTTTTCTGAATAATATTGGGATACTTCTTCGATAATATTCTACCAATTTTAGTCAATAAATAAATGGAAATATGTTTAATGAAATACGTAAAGTCAAATATTGATATGAATTTATTTAGAATAGTATATATATATATACATAAAAGGCCCTTATTTATTGTTTGGTCATGAACATATAAAATGTCATGAACTGGAAGTGATCAAGCCTGAAAGAGGAACTTGATATTATTATATAAACCTATTGCAGTGTAACGGTTGACAGCTTGCGTGGTATGGAATTCATCCCAAAACACATATGCAGTGCTATTTTGGCATGGTGTCTCATTAGGAATGCACTGTCCATTCTCCCCAGAAGGGCAACAAGGAGCATCCACGACAGTGAAACCTGAAATTGCATTGTATTCAATTGTTGTAATCTACAAAGTGAAATGAAAGAAATGCATGTATATATGTGTGTGTACTGTGTACCAAGTGAACTGTCGAGGCTTCCAGCTGTGCTGTTTATAAAGATGAATTTGGAATCAGCAGAGAAATTGGTGTTGAGTTGGTCCACCAGAGAGTTAAGCTTGTTATTGAACATGAACGCAGCATCGTTCAACCCTTCAAAACAAGTTCCATTTGTCTTATACCTACCAAAGGCATTTGGAGTGCATCCCATAAGACCTAACCCAACAATCACCATTTTTCTTGCCCCAACTTCGCGCAGACTCTGCGTGCCCCACAAAACCATCTTTAAATAATTATAAGTCGTTCCAATTAATAAACATAAAACTGCTTATTCGTTATTTGCTCACACATGAAACATTCGTTAACACTTACTCTAAATTTATATATAAGAAAATCTGCTTAACATTTTTAGGTTAAATTATACTCTTAATTTTTTATTTTTATCGATCTACAATTTTGATTCTTCTATTTTAAAATAAAGATACTTAGTCCCTTTTTTTAAAAAATATAAAATTTTAATTATTCTGTTAATTTAATATTCGTTGGTTATTAAATTTTGATATTGTTGCATAATTTGTTACCATTTATGTAATAAGATATATATGAACAAAAATTAAAAAAATAACATGCAAAATATTTTTGTTTATTATTTATTTTTATAAGTTATTGATATTTATTTTATTAATAAAAATCATATTTACATATTTTTATGATTTTTTTTAAATTATAAATATCATGTTAAATATCACAACACTTAAATATGATTAAATGTTAATAAAATTAATAAATATTAATTTGAAAAGTAGACTAAAATTTTATATTTTTAAAAATAGAATGACTAAATAATTCTATTTTAAAATAGAGAGATCAAAATTACGAATTGATAAAAATAAAAAAGAATCAAAAATATAATTTATCCTAACTTTTAAACTAAAATATAAATAATTTTTAATCAAATTAACTTTATTTAATATATTTTTAATTTAAAAATACTTTTAAAATATTAGTAAAAAAACCATTTACTATAAATTTACTTAAGATATTTTAAAAAATGTAACTTGTCAAAAAAGTATAGTGAAATGCGTAATGTAGAAATTAAATTCAGCTAATTAATGTTGTCATTAACTTTATTATGAAAATAGTGACTCTTGGGATTTAAGAACATTAAATATGGACATTACATGTGTGTTTGGTTTGTAATTTAAAAAGTATTTAATGAATTTTCACACATTCCTATATACAAAACGTAAAAATAACTCTTTTAATCCAAAAGTGAGTTACGTTGAAGGCAACCTTTTCACAAACACATTCGACTTGCGCGCGATGCCTATAAAGCATGTAGTTCTATTTGATGAAATTTTGAAAACTACAAGTCACGTGTAATAAATTAAGACGGTGCCTGGCTGACATACACAAATTTTATGAGGAAATGTGAAATAAATATATATAAGATGTAAAATAAAGTAGTGTTATGTAAAATAAAGTAGTGTTTTAAAACCCGGACCGACCCGGCCGGTTGGACCGGGAACCGGTGGTCCAGCCGGTCCGAATCTGAAGTTGGATCGGTTATGCAGTCGACCCGTTTCAAACCGGATTGAACCGGTCAATTTTCCGGTTCAACCGGTGAACCGGTGGGTCAAACCGGTTCAACCACTTTTTTTTCTTTTTTTTTTTTAAATTTTTTTAAGGGACCATAAATCACAAAAATAATAATGAAAATTGAATCTCTTAATGAAAAAGCAAGGAGTCTTATTAAATATAACAATGACTACTTGTTCTAATATATTTGTTTGCAATATATACAACTTAAATAACTTTTATAGTATATTATTAATTTTAAATTATATATTTAATAATTCAATATCTATGTAAATATTACATATATTATTTTGTGATATTAATTGCAAGCATATTATATATGTACATATTATTTATATTTTTAATTTGTATTAATATACCGTTTAACATGTAATTTTTTTATATATTTTTTTACAAAATAAAAATAAAAATAATTTTAAATAAGATAAAAAAAATTTAAATTTTAAATAAGATATGAATTTATTAAAATTTATAATTATAAATATATTTAATATGAATATTTTTTAATAAAAATAAATAAAAATCGAGTCATGCAGTTCAACCAGTGACCCACCGGTTCAACCTTTGACCCACTGACCCAATACCTTAACCGGTTCGATGACCGGTCCGGTTTTTAAAACTATGAAATAAACTTTTAAATTTATTTTTATTTTAGTTCTTAATATATATTAACATCATTATCACATTTATTTTTTTTTTGACGTTTATATTATATGACTGTGAATTTACACTTTTAAGTAGAAATAATAAAATGTATCCAAAACTTATGAAAATTGTAAAAATATTCTCAATTGGAAAGATAAAAACTTACATAATAGGATTAAAGTGAAGATCTACTCCAAAATTTAATGGAGACGGACAGGTATAGAGATAGATACTATATATCCAACTTGTCCTACACAGGCACCTCTATTTATATATAATTGTTTTTAAAATATATTTTATATTATAATATAAAATCTTGAGTTATATTATTTTATTTATTCAATTGGAGTTTTTTAATCTTTTGTTAGTATTTTTAATTATTATTTTAAACTTAATTTATTTTCATGTCTTAATTTTTTTTTAATATTATTAGATCAAAATAATATTAAATTTGAGAGATGCATCTGGTATTTTTTTTGTCTTTCCTTTTTTGAGGGAGTCTTTCCTTTTAATTTATAATATGTTGGGGTAAATGCATTAAATAGGATTTACACTTGATCCTCAATGTTGTGGAATATTTCGATTTATTAAAAAAAAATGTCATATGTGGAAATAGGCCAAAAAGCCTATTAGTGACTTACACTTTCTAAAAATTTTGTTTAAGTAAAGAGTCCAAATTTTAAGCTTTAAAAATGTTTGCTTAGGTCAACCTATTTATCTAACAAGTATTATTATATATTATACAAAATTATATGATGCATAATATATATATATATATATATATGAAGAGACTTATAATTACACTAGTGTAACTTTTATTAAGTATTACACCGCTCAATAACTTATATTTAATATAAAATTATTAATGATGAGTTTTTTTAACAAAAATAATTTAATCTAAATTTTTTCTATTATATAAATGTATGACTAATATTGCAAACATTTGCTAAAATTCCTTGTGGTCTTTATATTTTTTAATTGTGGAGTAATGATTGTTTTAACTGATGATTGTGAATTTTTAAAACTTCTCTAAATATATTTGGCATATATGATCTGTATTAGTAATCACATGTTGTAAGTAAAATCAAGCCTTTAAGAAAAGATTTATAACAAATAAACATGACAAATTCAAACTTAAAATATATGTTTTAGTCTTGTATGTCAAATTCAAGTTTGTCAAAATTTAGCATTAACTTGTTTTCACATCTATTAATGATAATCTTAAATTATTATAAATTTATGTTTCTAATGTTGTTTGATTATGACTTTATATTTAAATAATTAATTTAAAGTTATGTTCAAAAAATTTAAGAGTTTTTAATTTTGTTGTAACAACTTTTTAATTAATATTTTCTTATTAATTTATTAATTTTACACATAAATATAGATAACAAGTGCAAATAAGGTATATAAGTATATGAGGATGAGATTAAAGTTGTTAGTGACATAAAGATGAGAAAGGATAATGACATTTTTTTTCCAAACACAAATACTATAGTTATTTAGTCCTTATTTATTTTCAACCCTACTTTAAAGAATTTATTTGTTGAGAAATGTTATCGACATTCTTTCTAACACATTTTCTAAGACTATTTTATTATTGGTTAAAAATCACACATGTTGATAAGTCATATTACCAAATCAGGAGAGAGATTCATTAAAAAAAATATGTGAGATCGACAAACTTTGTGATTTTTAATAAATTTAAGTCAATAATAAAGAAAGTGTTAGAATTAAAAAAATTCTTTAACATTTTTTTATTTGAAATTTTTATAAATTTCGTGAGTGAATATGACCACGTTTTTTAAATTCAAGATCAAATGAATCGTATACTTATACTTAGGTTCATATTTAAATATATAGTTGATCAATTTTTATTTTATTCTTACAATTTCTTGAAATATAAAACTTTTAATTAAAAAAATTAATTAACAAATTATAACATCTCAGCCTATGGTAATTTATTCGATCATCATTTTGTAACTTAGTTTATCATAAATTAATTTTTTTATAAACATAATTCACATAATATCTTAAAGTTAACAATAAAAAATTAATATTAGTAGTGGTAATAATATATAAATATTAAATATTTAAAAAGATAAAATTTTAATATAATTTAATACTTCTAATAAATAAATAATTTATATTTTTAATATTTCTTTTGGTACCTTCAATTTAGGAGGGAGAAAGTCAAGATCATTAATATTACATTAATCCTCACTAAAACTTATATTTTACA